GTAGACTGCCAAGGAAGGTCTCCTGAGAAAAGGTCAGTTCAGAGGAGACCTGAAGAATGAATATGATTTCAGTAGGTGAAGATGAGGTGGGAGAGAAGACACCTTCTGACTTGAAGGAATGGCATGTGCTTAGGCCCTGTGGTGGATTAGTAATTCACACTCTCATGGAACCGGGGAGCAACCAGTAGAACTGAGCAGACAAGAAAATGATCAGAGATGGACTGGGAGAGATGGGTATTTGTCAGTACGTGCATGGCCTCAGAGATTGTATTAAGGATTTGTACTGTCTCCTAGGAGTGTTTAGGTCAGGATTTGCATTTTGAAAAGCTCAGTCTGGCGGCCAAGTGCACAAAGAGTTAGAACAGATGCTGGAAGATCAAACATAAGGTTGGAATAAAAAGGGCTCTGATGTTGGCCAAGATGGGGGTCTGGCTGCAGTGACGGAGAGTGTTGAAGACATGGAGCACAGGTTAACACTGCAGCTTAGAACCTCAGAGATAAGGGTGCTCTACATGGAAAGATTTTTTGCTATTTTAGTTGCTTGATTTTTCAGATGTTTCCTACATGTTTGTTTGGGTTTTTTTTAGAATTCATGTAGCTCAGTGACCTCTTCAACAGTAGAAACCATTTGATTGGAGAGACAAGCAAGAAAAAAGCAAGAAATAACAGGAACTCTCATTCATTGCTGATGGGAATGAAAAATGGGATAGCCACTTTAGAAGACAGTTTGGCAGTTTCTTACAAAACTAAACATACCCTACAAAACAGTAATTATGCCCCTTGTATGTACTCGACTGAATAGAAAACAGGTCCATACAAAATCCTGTACGCAAATATTTATAGCTGCTTTATTCATAATTGCCCAAACTTGGAAGCAACCAAGATGTCCTTCAGTAGATGAATAGATAAACAAGCTGGGATACATCCAGACAATAGAATATTATTTAGCGATGACAAGAAATGAGCGATCAAACCATGAAAAGACATGGCAGTACCTTGAAAGCATATGGCTAAGTGAAAGAAGACAATCTGAAAAGGCTGCATAATGTATGATTCCAACTCCATGATGTTCTAGAAAAGGCAAACTATGGAAACAGTACAAAAAAATCACTGGTTGCCAGGGCTTCAGGGGAGAGTGAAAGGGTAGAGCCCAGGAGATGTGTAAGGCAGGGAAATTATTCTGTACGATACTCTAATGGTGGATACATGTCATCATACATTTGTCAGACCCATTGAATGTATAATGCGAAGGGTGAAGTTTCACGTAGTCTATGAACTTTAGTTAATAGTAACATATCAATATTGGTTCCCCAATGATAACAAAGGTATTACATTAGTAGAATATTAGGGAACACTGAGGGCAGGGTGAGGGAGTATATGGGCACTTTGTACTTTCTGATACATTTTTCTGTAAAACTGAAACTGCTCTAAAAATTAGCCCATTAATTTAAAAAATACAAAAATCATGGCATGGCCATGAACTACGTGAAAACCCAAACTAAACAGACCATTTTGTCACACAGCAAACAGTGGAATATATTTTCGCTTTCTGCCCAGGGAGCTTCCTTATCTTACCACAGAGAGATGGATGATGCCAGTACTTCTGAGACAAATGTGAGAGATTTAGAAAGTAGAAGCAGCTGCACCAAAAATTATGCATGTTGTGGTCTCTGAAAAATACAAAAACTCTCATGAAGTGATTCCTCTCACTTTTGGGTTTTCCCTCTGCTCAACACTGAAAGGTGTGTCCAGATGATAGCCACAACAAGGGCCCTGGGGCAGGATGGAGTAGTGTCAGAAAGCTCAGCATATTCCCCAAGAAACTACAAATTTTTGGAGGCAGTTGTTACATCACGTCATCAGGGCCTCTCTGTGGTGATACCAACTCAAATCATCACAGTTTTACAGGAGAAGTGGATTAATATTTTTCTGCTATTCCACACTTCCTCCCCCAAAGTCCCAAACCAGAGAAAGGTACAAATATAATGTCAAGTAAGGTTACAGGCTAAATGTTCAGGTGTTAATTGTTAGTGATTCTCAGCCATGCCATGTGATCTTGACTAAATGTGGACCAAGAGAATATTCAGTTGATGTTTTCTTCTCATTGCGCTGCTAATTAATTTAGAAATGTGAATTGACCCAGTACTCAGTGACAGGCCTTGTGTTCAGCTTGCGATAATTAGGTATCACTAGTCATTCAGTCACACCTTACATCCCCAGTCTGTTTTCCTGGGAAGAAATTAGGAAGCAATGAGGTCTGTCTTCATAAAAGCGAACAGTCTTTCAAATTTGCATCCAGTATTGTGAAGAACAAAAGCTGTCTTTTTCTTTGTCAATTTCCTTTCACATATTTGATGATCTTGGTATAATAGGATGTTCTTGTCTATATTAACCTCAGAAGCATAAGAATTTCTTTACGAAGAGAGACTTCATAGAAAGAAGCTTTGCACTCATTTCCAATACACGGTCAATGCCTGGATGCCAGTCACACACTGTCAATTACTTAGTTGGCACAATAAGTGTGGATGTGCATGTGTAACAAAGTGATTCTGGAGAAGTTTATTCTTATTGAGAATAATGCCACTATTTAGCTTAAAAATTTAACTATGTATGATTAATGCCACTTATGATGAAAGCTACTGCTACCAACAGTAATTTTAAACTGTATTTTTGTAGTTGCTGTTAAGCATGAAACATGTTTGTTTGAATTAAGAAAAGATGCCCCACTTTTGTTGAACAGTTCCTACTTCTATATTCCTCCATTAATAAAATCAAGAAGCCCTAGCCAGTTTGGCTCAGTGGAGAGAGCGTCGGCCTGTTGACCAAAGGGTCCCAGGTTCAATTCTGGTCAAGGGCACATACCTCGGTTGCAGGCTCCTCCTCAGCCCGGGCTCTGGTCGGGGCCGCATGCAGGAGGCAACCAATCGATGTGTTTCTCTCACATCGGTATTTCTTTGTCTTTCCCTCTCTTCCACGTTCTCTAAAAATCAATGGAAAAATATCCTCAGGTGAGGATTAACAAAAATAATGTAAAAAATCAAGAAAATATGAAACAATACATTCTTAATGTTCAGATTCTCCAAGTTGCTGAAGTGGTTGTAATGATTAGATGCTACTACCTCTTCCATGGACCTTTCTCCACCCCACACTCCCACCAAAAAAGATTCAGTTCCTAGAAAGAAGGAAAGTTAGTTTCTCTTTCTTGAGGGAATTACTCACTATAATAGTTAACAGTCATTGCATGTGCTTCTGTGTCATAGGCACAATACTAAATGTTTTAACATGTATTCTCTCATTTAATCTTCCCAACAACCCCATCTTAGTTTTCTGTTATTACCAAATTTGTAACTGTGGAGAATGTTTCTGAAAAATTAAGGTCACACATATGGTAAAATAGCAATGCCAGGATTTGAACCCACATATCACCAACATGGCTATCCTACATTAACCGCTGTGCACTTGTTTCTACCTTATGGGATACACAGCTGAGCCCTGGCTGGGTAACTCGGTTGGTTAGAGCATCGTCCTTATACACCAAGGTTGCCAGTTTGATTTCCAGCTAGGGCACCTACAAAGATCAACCAATGAACGCATAAATAAGTGGAACAACAAATCAAAGTTTCTCTCTCCCTCTCTAAAATCAATCAATAAAAATAAATAGAAAAGCAAACAAAGCTGAGGTTTTGTGAACATTAGTGGACCCTTGTCACGCTCAGTTGGGACTGTTTTTGAGCCAAGTTGTACAAGCTCAATATGAACCTCTACCTCCATGACCACTACCACACACACAAACACACCTGCTAGTGACTGTCCTACAGAAACTGTATGAGCCTGAGTCTATAGAAATGGTCTTCAGATAGGGCAATAACAATTTCAGAGAAGTTAACCAGAAAGACACTCCCCAACATTATTTTTAACTTTTCTAAAATGTGTTGGCTTCACTTTTTATAAACTGGGTATGTCTCCCCATTCGAGAGAAAAGAATGACCAGTGTGCTTTTATAGCAAGCAGTCTGGTTTTATCCACTAAAAGTAGGGAAGGTCTAAGCAAACAATAGGCCATGTTAGCTTCAGTTGCCAAGAGAAAAGAAGGGGGAATAGCAAATGTTCCAAAACAAAGTTCATCCTCTGTTCTTGCTCCCAATCTGTTGCCCAGGTCATCAGTAAGGTACCTCAGCTAGTTGCCTCTGTGTCTGTGTCTCATTCCGTTTATCTTGGTGGACTACATGGAAGAAGCTGATACTCTAGAAAGGGCTCTGTTGAGACTATACCCTAAGGTGGGTATTTACTTCCAGGGGTGGGCAAATTTTTTGACTCGAGGGCCACAATGGGTTCTTAAACTAGACCGGAGGGCCGGAACAAAAGCATGGATGGAGTGTTTGTGTGAACTAATATAAATTCAAAGTAAACATCATTACATAAAAGGGTACGGTCTTTTTTTTTTTAGTTTTATTCATTTCAAACGGGCCGGATCCGGCCCGCGGGCGGTAGTTTGCCCACGGCTGACTTAGACCCACATTGAGTATGTTTCAAGCTAAGACTTTATAAACTGTTCACGGCCAGGATCTGTGGGATACAACTTCACAGCCTTCTTCACCCAGTGGGTAGTGTGAGAGGCAGGGTCCTTAACAGCTCTTAACGTGTGTGACAGGCTTGCAGGCGGATACTCCCTTCAGTTACCTTGTACCAAAGGCTGAGGGAGGCCTCTTAGTGGGGTATTTACATTTAACGAAAGGATGCTCACCCTTCTCTTCATTTAATTGTCTCCTGGGGACAGTTAAGATCCTGATAGACCTTAACATCAGTCGATATAAAAGACGACCACTAAGGACCGCGGCCAGGCCGAACCCGCCAGGCACGCGGGGGCCCACCCATCGCTTCCCGCCCACCCTCACTTGCTCGCTCGCGCTCCCTCCGTTGGTTCTCTGGTTCTCTCGTTAGTCCGTGGATCCTTAGCCGCCCGCCCTAGTCTCCGAGCTTGGGACACGCGGATCAGCGAAGAGAGGCTGGAGTCGGAGCGTCTCCCGAGTGCCTTTCATCTGAGAAGTTCAAGGCACTTTGTAGGACTTCTGCCACAGGCCGCACTGGGTCTTGCAGCACATTTGTAAGCAATGGCTGCCATCCGGAAGAAATTGGTGCTTGTTGGTGATGGAGCCTGCGGCAAGACTTGCTTGCTCGTCGTTTTTAGCAAGGACCAGTTCCCAGCGGTGTACGTACCTATGGTGTTTGAGAACAATGTGGCAGACATTGAAGTGGATGGAAAGCAGGTCGAGTTGGCTTTGTGGGACACAGCCGGGCAGGAGGATTATGATCGCTTGAGGCCCCTCTCCTACCCGGACACGGATGTGATCCTGATGTGTTTCTCCATCGACAACCCTGATAGTTTAGAAAACATCCCAGAAAAATGGACTCCGGAAGTCAAGCATTTCTGTCCCAATGTGCCCATCATCCTGGTTGGGAACAAGAAGGATCTTCGAAATGATGAGCTCACAAGGTGGGAGCTAGCCAAAATGAAGCAAAAACCAGTCAAACCGGAAGAAGGCAGAGAGATGGCAAACAGGATTGGCGCTTTGGGGTACGTGGAGTGTTCAGCAAAGACCAAAGATGGAGTGAGGGAGGTTTTCGAAACGGCCACAAGAGCTGCTCTGCGAGCCAGACGTGGGAAGAAGAAATCTAGGTGCCTTGTTTTGTGAGCCTGCTGCAAGCACAGCCCTCACGCCGTTCATTTTGAAGTGCTGTTCATTAATCTTAGTGTATGATTCCTGGCTTTTTTCATTGATCTATAATTTACCTAAGATTACAAGTCAGAAGTCATCTTGCTACCAGTATTTAGAAGCCAACCATGATTATTAATGATCTGGCCCGCCAGGTCCTCTGCCACTGGCTCTAACAGCCCTCCTCTGTGCTCCCACCTGATACACCAGGTGCTAATTCAAGGAATTCCTTCACTTCTTGCTTCTTTCTAGAAAGAGAAGTGGTAACTTTTGTGAGTTAGGCTGTAACTACTTCATAACTAACGTGCCTGCCTGTCCTCTGTCAGCTGCAAGGGACTCTGGGAGCTACCCCTTCAGGGCTTGACTCCTGAGCAGGTTTCCTTGTCGTGCCTCTGGAGGGGGCATCCCGTTTTTAAAATGTGCTCGTCCAGAGAGGCCCAGGCTCATGCAGCTGTGGTTTCACGTTAGTTACCTTATAGTTACTGTGTAATTAGTGCCACCTAATGTATGTTACTAAAAAATAAATATATCTACTCAAACTAAATGTAGTATTTTTTGTATAATTGGATTTCCTAAGACTGATATCTGTCATCCCCACAGAAAGTGTATTGGTTTTTTTAAAAAAGAAAGTGTATTTGAAAATAAAGTCAGATGGAAGATTCATTTTTAAAATTCAAAAAATAAATAAAAAAGGCGACCACACAAAGCTCTCCCCAGAGCATTACCTTGAATTCGGTGCCTCTTATTGGTTGTCAAAACAATCCTCAAGGAAAGGGCTTAGATTTTATATAGTAAATCCACTCCACCGTTCCCACCATCTGTCTCTATAATTGTGTACATGGTATTCATTCATCAACAAATATCAAATTGGATACCTTCAGTGTGCCAGGGACTGTTTAGGCTCTAGGGATAGAGCCGTGAACAAAACAGATACATATCTCTCTTCATGAAGCTCATTCTAGTGAAGAGAGACAAGCAATAAAGAGATAAATAAGTAAAGTGTATGCCATGTTAGATGGTAATAAGTGCTAAGGAGAAAATATAATCAGGAAGGCAAAAAGAGAGTGATGAACAAAGATGGGATGAAGCCATTTCAGACGAGTGGGCCAGGCATGCTTCACTTGAAGGGGCATTAGAATAACAACAGGAAGCAGATGAGGAATTTTGCTGCCTAAATAAAGGATGTTACCTTCTCACCTAGGTCTTTTACAGTCTGTGAGTTGTTTGAGAAAGGAGTCATATGTGTCAGTCATTATCGAATGTATATTGAGTTAAGCCTTTACAATATAAAGTTGAGTTAGTAAGCCTTGTGCTCTCCTTCACATCATAGTAGGGAAAACGGTCATAAATAAATAACTGCAAAGCAGTGAAATGCATAGATATAGAGACATAAAAAGCAAAATGGAAATTGGAAAGATAGAGAAGCAACTAAGCCTAAAGGGAATATGAGAAGGCTTTAGAAAGGAGGTGATATTTAAACAGAGGATTAAAAGATGATAACGGCTAATAATAACAGCTAACCTTGTCCTCTCTTTCAGGGAAATTTTTAATAAAATGTTTTCTTATCTTTATATTTCAAGTTACATTATAGCATATGAGTGAACTTCCTCTGTAACCCTTTCACACAGAAATGCATAGAGTACATGTGAAAGCCACACATGACTCATCCACTTCATTGGTTCTGAAGCCTGGATCTAACCACTTGGTTACACTGAAAGTGGAGAGAGGAGTAGGTAAAAGAAGACCATTTATTTATTCAATAAATATATGTTGAAGAGTTACTGTGTGGTAAGCACTGTGCTCGGGATATTGAATACCATTATTAAAGCAACATGACCTTTATCCCGAAAAAGGTTACAGTCCAGTGATTCCAGGCAAATGGCTTATGAAGGAGTATGGCACCTTCAAGTGGTTGGTGAAACCAGAGAGTAGAATACATCCCACAGAAAGTTTTAGACAATAAGTCTTGGATGATACCCAGGGGCTGGGTTATAAATCTAGAAAAATAGCCAATGGCTAGATTATGAAGGACCGTGTATGGCAACTAAAGCATTTGGATTTTTAAATTTTTTTCTATGAGGAGTCTTTAGAAATTATGAGTAAAAGAATGATCATTATTGTGTGACCACAGCTCTTTTGTCTAACAGCCTTTTAATATTTTGATGAATTTTCTTATAATCTTTCTAACATATTAGTAGTCTATTTTAATTAATAACATAATTATCTTTCTAACTATAAATATCTATTTTATAAAATATGGAAAACACAGGAAAGTATTAGGGAGACGAGAAAAAAAAAACATCTGTTATTCAACCACCCAGAGAAAAACTTTAACATTTTTATGTATTTTTTTCAAGCATTTTTTCTAAATGTGTATATACATTTTTAATTGTGTATCATCAATACTATACCCTGGACATTTTCCCATACCTTTAAATATTCTTCAAAAACATAATTTAATGGCTAGAGAATGATATTCTGGTGTGGGGAAAGAGTGAATTTATTTACTTAAAGACTAGAGGCCTGGTACACAAAATTCATGCACGGAGGGGGTGTTCCCTCAGCCCAGCCTGCACCCACTCCAATTAGGAACCTCGAGGGGGATTTCCAACTGCCAATTTAGGCCCAGTTAATCCTAAACCAGTGGTCGAACACCCCTCTCACAATCTGGGACTGCTGGCTCCTAACCACTCACCTGCCTGCCTGCCTGATTGCCCCTAACCCCTCGGCCTGCCTGCCTGCTCACCCCTAACTGCCTCTGCCTGATTGCCCCTAACTGCCCTCCCCTGCTGGCCTGATTGAGCCCCCAACTGCCCACCCCTGCCATCCTGATCTCTCCCCCAACTGCCTTCTCCTGCCAGCCTGGTTGCCTCCAACTGCCCTCCCCTGCCGGCCTGATCTCGCCTCTAACTGCTCTCCCCTGCTGGCCTGATCTTGCCCCCAACTGCCCTCCTCTGCCAGCCAATTTGGTTCTGATTGGTCAGTTTCTATGCCAGTTAACATCAAAAGCTCCACCTCCTAGGTAGCCATTGGATCCTCACAGTTGACCCAGATTTGGTTCTGATTGGTCAGTTTCTATGCCAGGCAGTGTCAAAAGCTCCGCCTACTAGGCAGCCATTGGCTCCTTACATTCACCCAGGTTTGGTTCTGATTGGTCAGCTTCTATGCCAGTCAGCATCTCTGGGCCTATCAATGGGGCCTGGTCAGAAAGGTGGGGCTGATTGTGGAGGCCTGGAGAGAAATGGAGGTGCTGCTGTTGGCCAGGCCGGCAGAGAAAGAGAGGCAAGTTCTGATCAATGGCTGCCACAGAAGCTTCGGATCAGACCCTACCTCTCTCTCTGCAGGCCTCTCTCCAGGCCTGATCCATAGCCCCCTAGGCAGTCAGTGCTGGGTTGGGGGCGCACAGGGGCTCCAGTCAGTGCTTTGCCATGGCAACCCAGCACTGACTTCCTGTTTGGTTGAGCCTTCCGTTGTTATGACCTGGCTCTTTATTATACTAGAGGCCCGGTGCACAAAAATTTGTGCACTCAGGGGAGGGGGGTCCCTCAGCCCAGCCTGTGCCCTTTCACAGTTTGGGGACCCTCGGGGGATGACCACCTGCTGGCTTACGCCCGCTCCCTGGGGGATTGGGCCTCAGCTGGCAATCAGACATCCCTCTGACAGCCTGGGAGCCCTTGGGGGATGTCCACTTGCCAGGGGCGAGCAGGCCTAAGCTGCAGTCGGACATCCTTAGCGCTGCTGAGGAGGTGGGAGAGGCTCCCACCACCACCGCTGTACTGGCAGCCGTCAGCCTGGCTTGTGGCTGAGCAGAGCTCCCCCTGTGGGAGCGCACTGACCACCAGGGGACAGCTCCTGCATTGAGCGTCTGCCCCCTGGTGGTCATAGTGACCAGTCATTCCCAGTCATTCTGCTGTTAGGGTCAGTTTGCATATTACCCTTTTATTATATAGGATAGATAATTTAGTGTATGTTTGAAAACATAGGCTGAGGAGTCACACAGAAGTAGGCTTGAGTCCTTGGCCTGAACTTGCCAGCAGCATGTCTCCAGGAACTCAATGCTATAAACCTCAATTTCTTCATTAGTAAAATGGGGATCAAAAAAGGACCTTTGTGATAGGTTTTTATGAAGATTGAATAAAGTGTGGTAAGCATTTCAAAGTAACTAGAAATATTAAACACTCAATAAATAAATGGTATTACTATAATTATTAACAAATGTAATTATTATATATAATAAACTATTAACAACTATTTCCCTCACGTTTCAGTGCTTATAAAGCATTCTTAACACCCACAAAGACTAACAGATGGTTTTTGTTAGCATGTAACTCTCAGCCACTAATATTGTTTTTTGTGATTAAAAGGACTGAATGCTATTTAAGCGGCTTTCTCTACAGAAGGCCTTTTTTTGTTTTTGCTTGTTTGTTCGTTTTTGTTTGTTTTTACTACTTACTAAAAATGTATGGTTCACATGACAAAAAGACGTTTTTCAAACCAGGAGCATTCAAACCAAAACATGGAATTTCCCTAACAGCTAGTGAAGTTGAGCATCTTTTCATATAACTGGTGGCCACCTGTATGTCTTCTTAGGAAAAAATGTCTGTTTGGGTCCTCTCTCATTTTTGAATTGGACTGATTGTTTTGTTGTCGTTGAGTTGTATACGTTCTTTATTTTGGATATTAGCCCCTTATCAGAGATATTGTTTGCAAAAATCTTCTCCCAGTTGGTTGGCGGCCTTGTTGTTTTGTTGATGGTTTCTTTCGTTGCCCAGAAGCTTTTTAGTTTGATGTAATCCCATTCCTTCATTTTTGTTTTTTCTTCCCTTGCCTTTGGGGTCAAGTTCACAAAAACCTCTCTGAAACTATAGTCCATAAGTTTAGTAGGTATGTCTCCTTCTATGTCTTTCATTGTTTCAGATCTTATATTCAACTGAGATCCTTTCCTAAGAAAGGAAGCAGCTGCATGGTGTAGCTTTTGC